GGAAGCTAGAACTTACAAATTCTGAGTCACCAACAGTAACCACCAGACCACCTTGCCACGGTCTGGTATCCTCGGCACGCAGGGAGGGCCGGAGGCGGAGAAGTTCTCCTGTTCGCCGCAATCCAAGAGGCGACATAAAATGTTGTGTTAAATCCTGAAGTTTGGAACGGTTGTGGAGTGTGGTATGACAGATATTTCCTGACACCGACCCTCCGGACGTTTCTGGTAGCCACCGATTGCTTTGCCCGATTGATGGCCGTCTAAAAAAAAATCAGAACCCGCAGTTTATGACCACACCACGCTATATAATCAGAACCCAGAGTAGAAAAATTCAAAGATTTAGTTTAAAAATGCTCCTTTCAGTCTGCAATGGAGAGGCTATCCTGGAATGGGAATACCCTGGCGAAGGTCATAGCCAAGGGCAAGTGTTCTAAGGTCAAAGCTGTTGACACGCCGTGCCAATGATAAAGATAATCAGGTTGGCAAGGGTAGCTTACAGTTTCTACCCCGGACCTTTACAGCTTACAGCAGTTGATGGGGTCTACTTCTCGTATATTCAGTGTGGTGCAAACACACGACTCTGAGTCTGAGGGTAGGCTTTGGGTGGCAGTCAGTGGAAATATTAGGTAATCATGTTACGTCTTTCTCTCTAAATTGCATGAGGAAGTTTAGCTTTGCATTTAACTTCGGCACTGCAAGCTTCCATCCGCACCTGACCAACTTCATCCACGTTAAAGCGCATCTCTGCAAGCCGGGCAATGTTCTGTCCTACCGATACATCCCCGGGTCTGCCCAGCTCAATGATTCTGCAAAAAAAAGGGCCTTCCATGGGGAACTGAGGCAACATGTTACAACTGTAGACCTTGCTGGAAGTCTGTATTCGAGGCTACAGTCCCTGTGTCTGACCACAGCTGCAGCAGCAGGAAATGCCACAAAAGATCAATGAACGTCCGGCAGGTAAACACGATGTCCTTCATCGGTTGTCTTGGCAACCGACCAACTCACGTACGCACGTCTGTGAGTCATCGGACAAAAACGTCTCGGCAGACTTCACCCGATACCTTTCTTACAAAGGGCGGAAATTTTACCTAAAATCCGCTTTTTGCTCCCCTGACCATGCTGTTTGTCGATTGCTTTTGTCATTTGTTTTCTGCGGACTTCATGCGGGAGGTGGTCTACAAAGACACAGGGTACTACTCAATGCATCGCCGTGAATGCATTTAATTACTTTCGCGGTGGTTTTATTTCACAGTATGAATTCATGACAAAATAAGGTGTTTCTCAGTGTTTGAAGTTCAATTCAATACTGCAATAAAAATACAAAACACATGTTGGCTGTGTCGTTGCGTTTAGGGGACACTGCGGGCAGTTCACGATTTACAAACTGAGCTCAGCAAACAGCAGATAACAAACCAAAATGCTAAGTGGGCTTGGCTAGACAACCGTTCCCCAAGGTTTTGTCTCACTACTGAATTAAAGTCGAAAGTACCCGGCGCTCACGATGCACGTATTTTTTGTCTCTTCCAGCTATCCACGAGTTCCCGCCAGACCTGTTCTCCCAGATCCAGCGGAGACATGGCGCCATCATCGTGCACACGCTCGTGGTAAGGCCGCCTTCTGATACGGGACTTTATTAAACAAACGGGTGATCTTTATTGCATCTAGTCATTGGGGATAATGCAATTCTCTTTATTCATACACCCTTTAGCCAAAAGGCTATTAAATCTTCCAGGGTTCAGTCGAGAAAAACATACATACAACAAATAACATAGTAAAAACACACGCATATAATACAAAAGGAAATTTACACTATATACAAATGAAGGTACATAATCTAAAAACTAATGACGGAACGTCTTACTGTTTGAACATTTGGAGGATATCTTTCTTAAAGTTAGATGTGCTGGTCAGTGTTTTGATATGTAGTGGTAATTTGTTCCAAAGGTAGATTGCCCTGTACTGAAAGGTTCTCTTTTTGCTGTTTGTTTATGGTCATGGTAGCATAGAACTTTGAGAAGTTGAGAATCTTGTTGAATACTTGTGGGTCAACTGGATATGGGCAAGTGAATTATATATAGTTGCAGTAAGTTGCAATAAGTCAAACTTCAACTTCATGGATCTTGTTTCATGCGTCCAGTCATTGGTCATGTAAATTTTAATCTAATTTCGAACCCTCAACGATCTCCATCCACTGTAAGTGGGACCTTGCTTTCACATGTGCATGTAAGGGCCAGGTCGCGTACGTCGTACGATTGTCGTACGATTGCAAAATTAGGGCGTCATTCCTGAGATGGTCGCGCATGTGTCGTACAAAATTCGGCAGTCGCTCCTGTTTCCGGGAAAGTTGTCTGAGATTCTTGTGTGAGAGGTTGGTTCTGTCACAGCCTGGTTGAAAATGCTACGATATCAAAATCTTACGACGTGCTATGGCGAAAGTGACCGTGCCGTTAGCTGGTCTATTGTAAATTTGATACTCGTTTTGTGTATACATTACAGCGCCCAACATGCTGTTATCTCCCGCTTGTTCTATAATTAGTTGAGCTCACTCGGGCTGGGTCTTGTCAAACTTCTGTCAGCGTGGCAGTCCATATTAGATCCTGTCAACATCACTTCCAACAGAGCTTAAGTAGTTTGTATATATTCCACCCGAGGTTCATGCTGACACATCACAAGGCGAACCCGACTGGTGCTGTTTATGGAGGTGCTAGCGGGTTGTTTGGGTCCCCTTCTCTCCTCTTCACAACCAAAGACTTAATGAATTTGATAGACAAAGAACGATTTTTTCACATTTTTGTGATTTGATGTCTTTTACATCATATACAAAAATCATATTTCAATTAATAATGGCAACAGTCAAACAAATCCAGTTTGGTCGCGGAAAGGGGAAATTACGGAGATTGCAATTGGATTTTTGGTCCTCTTTTAATTGGCGTCAATTGACATTGGATTTATGAGTTGAGAAAAACAAAACACACAAAACGTCTTCTTTATAACCGACATTCGTTGAGCGATCTGCGAATATTAATATTTGGGCGCGTATCGGCCGTTGCCTCTAGTGGAAATGGGGTATTAGGCCCAGGTTCGTCAGGCTTTACAGCTTTAGAGTTATCGGATTAGATTGTTGGCGTCGTGATGAGTTACGGGGCGGTAGATAGCGGGGCCACGTCGGGCTTGCAAAGGTCGTCATACAAGAGGGGATTATATCATCCTTTGAACTTCAAAATCAGGAATATTGTACGAGTAACTCTACCTAATGCAAATTTGATTTGTCTGAGCGTGTATTACGTTGTATGAAATGTGAAAGAGCTGGTCTTCACTGCTGATACGATGGCAAATGCCATAAGTACATGAAGCCTATTTTCATAAGTCAACGTATACTAAACGAAGAGGTTTCAAATGACATGTATTTTGAAATATCTATGGAATTAGGTGCTTGTTTTGAATTGCAAACATACATATTGACATATGAAGACTGACAAATTAGTATTTGTGATAATTCGACACTGTGTTTTGC